TTTACAATTCTAACAACTTGTAATTGATATTAAATAGAATGATATTGTACTCATAAGTCAATTTTTCTATCGATTATAATATGAGGAAATTTTTTTGATATTGAATTTATTCAATCTTTAAATATTAAGTCAAACAATTGATTCTGATATAATTTGTAACAATCAGCTTTATCAATTTCAATTTGAAAGCCGCATGAGTATGCTTCTACATTTTATAATTCAATAGCAATACTAATATCTTTTTAATATATATATATATATATATATACATATATATATATATATATATATTTAGAAGTAAACAACATACAAATTAATGTAGTATATTTTAAACCTTTGATCAAGTAAAAAAAATTAATATTATCAAGAAAAATTGTGCTTATATTCTAAAGAATCTAAGCACACTACTTAATATTGTATATAGAAATGATATAATTACAAAAAATAATAATATGATTGTCAATAAAGATAATACATCAATTTTTTTTTTTTTTATCTTGTTGGATTGTATAATTATAATTTTGTACAACATATAATAAAGTTCATATTCTCTCTTTAAAATATTTACCTTGTTTTACAATAAATTTTTATTTATGACCTAAAAATTACAAAGCTTCTATCTTCTTATATTTAAGAACTTCAATTTGTTTTGTAAATAAAGACTTTGTTCAAAGACATATCATACTTTTGCAAAGAAAACTAAGTCTATGCATTTAAAAACCATAGATGGTTGTCATTTTTTTTTTGTTGAGATATTATAGATAAAATTATTCCTATAAATATAATAAAAAATAGTTGCAAAAATTTAGTAGTATTTAATAATAATTAGATCTCTTTCTTGTCTAATTATTATAGACTTATTGTAGTTAGAAAAGTATAGATTAAATTTGATAGATTAGATTTCTTATAATCTCAAATTTTTTCATAATATAACTAAGAATTTTCTAACTAAGTAAAAAGACATGAATTAAATATAGCCAAAGCTTTATTTTTATGAATAAGAACTTTCATGCATGCTATAAAAGAGTAATTATGTTTATTATTCATGTCACATATAGTTCTAATTGTGGAAAGTCTTCAAGTAGCATTCTAAGCCAATATCAAAATTATCAAGCTATTTTTGAAAAAAATATATAATTAATATATAGCATTGATTCTATGATTAATTAATTGATCTTCAAAAAAAAAACTCAACTACCATTTAAACCAATCTATAGCTTATCACAAAATGAAATAGCTTTATTCAAGGAATGTATTATTAAAAACTTGACTAAAAACTTCATATAACAATCAAAATCATTAGCAAGAGACTCTATCTTATTTGTAAAGAAAATGAATAAATCATTAAAGATTTAGATAGATTATTAAAGACTTGATAAGATTAACATAAAAAATAGATATCTTATATCTTTGATAATAAGACTTCTTAATCAAATAAATCAAGCTAAGATCAATATAAAAACATATTTACAATAAATATACAATCTAGTACACATTAAAAAAAAGAGGTAAATGAAAGCCTACATTTTAAACCAAATATTATCAAAGACCTGAATTTCAAAGAAAGAAAGTCTCAATACACTCTAGTGTCACTTGAAAAGACTAAAAAATCAATCAAAGATGGTAACAAATTGAACTAGAATGGCTATTTCCAAAGATAAGAAGACAAAAAAGTCTTGAAACAAAACTGAAGATTAAAAATGCATTGACAAGAGTGAAGAAGGCTTCACTCTTGCCTCCATATATACTATATAACTGAAAGCTACATGGTGATGTTCTATAGGACCTCCAATATATGTTAACTTTACAAGACACATATCTTATCTTACAAGGCAAATTATCTATATGTACACCACATAGTTAGCTTGTTCTACAAGCTACAAATATGTATAACATGTTGTTAACTTGTTGATCAAGTTTTTAACCTATCAATCAAATATAAATATGTATAAAATTAAAATTATATTTATAAAGCTTTAGTAATATTTTCTAGAAGATATTATGAAATTAATCTATTTTATCTATTTCTACCTAATTATATAGTTAATTATTAAAATAAATATATATATTTATCAAAAAGTAAAGACATTTTAAATACAATGTTGTATCTTTTGAAATCACAAATATGTCTGTTATTTTTCAACATGCAATAAATAATATTTTTAGAGATTTTTTGGATTATTATTTTTTTAATTATATAAATAATATTTTAATCTACTTTAAAAATACTAAAAAGTATGAATTTTATATTTTTTATGTGTTCAAAAACTTAAAGATATTAGATTCTATGCCAAGATGAAAAAGAGTGTATTTCATACAACTTATGTTGATTTCTTAAGATATATCATTTCAAATGATGGTCTTATAATGGATCTTAAGAAATTTTAGAATATCATGGATTGTAATATTTTAAGAATGGTAAAAAAAAAATATATATATTTTTTGAGATTGTCAATTACTATTCAATTTTTATAAAGAATATTTTTGAAGTTGTAGCCCCCCTTAAACATTTGATTCATACAATCAAGCTTGACTGAAATTAAGAAGCTATAGAAATATTTAAAGTTTTGAAGATATTTTTTTATTGTAATATCAATCTTATAATATGTTAATTTTTTAAGGTATTTTTTATAGAAAAAAATGTATTAGATTTTGTTTTATATGTGATATTATTACAAATGGGACAATGTGATAAACTTCACCTAGTAGTTTTTTATTCAAGAAAAATTTTGGTAGTAAAGATCAATTATAAGATCTACAACAAAAAACTTCTTACAATTATGGGTTTATTTTAAAAATGTCGCCATTATTTAGAAGGTGCTTCTATTTTAGTGATTGTTTATACACATAATAAAAACCTTGAGTATTTTATATCACCACACATTTTGAATTGTTGTTAATTATATTGGAGTTAATCTTTGTTAAAAGTTATATCAATTTTATTTATTGGCTTAAAAAATAAGATTTTTTAGATGCCATTTTTAGATATTTTTAACTTTTGGCAAAATAAAAAGATGTAGCTTGTGATAAAAAGATAAAATTCTTTTGAAGCAAAAGCAATTTCATCTTTAAACAATGAAATCATTATTGGCTATTAATCTAATATTTTATAATCAAATTTAATCAAATATGTCCTAAGATCATCTTGTGCATGATATCAAACAATAATTCTTTTGAATCTCATGATGCTTCTAAGTTTGAATTTAAAAACAATCTTCTCTATTTCAAAGGTTTCTTATATATTTTAAAAGGCAAAGCATAATTACACGTTCTTCAAATTTGTTATTTTTTTTTTTAACTTTATAATATTTTGCATACAACAAGTTAATAGAGTTTACTTCAAGAAAGTTTTATTGGTTCTAAATGTGAAATGCACTTAAAGACTTTATATAATCATGTGATATTTGTTTAAAATTAAAAACTCCTTATCATTAATGTTATGGACTTTTATAACCACTACATATTATAAAAATTCAAGATACAACAAATTGTATTAGCGATATATTTTGATCTTTGTTTTCTTTGAAAGTAGTTGATAGGTCATTTCAACCATCAATAGTATTCCATACTATGATAAGACAACTACCTTGTTACTTGATCATTATTCAAGTCTTTACAACTTCTTTTAAATAAAGCATTTAAAATACCATAAAGAATGGTTTCTACTTCTAATAATATCACCAAACATTGAGATTTTCTTTGAAAGTCATGATATCAAAGGTGTTATGCCTTACCATCTATTTGAAGAATAAAGTATTGTTCTTGATGATTTTTATTTCTATGACATTGTTTTAAAGATTGTAACAATCTTAATATTTCATTTGATAACTTAATAAATGATAACTCTAGAGTTAAATTATTTCATTATTAATTATCTATTTTCTTATTGCAAAAAATACATAAAAATTACAAATAATGATAAAAGATAGAATGCAATGTTTATATATAAAACATAGACAATTATAGAAGATATAATGCAATCTTCACAAATATTCCTATACAATGTCACTACATAATTTTATAGTTAGATAGTAAATATAAAAACAAAATTAAATTTTTTTCACCCTTGTCATTGCCTTTCTTAGGTTCTTGTCTTAGTTTAGGAAGTTATTATTTCTTTGTATTTGGCAATAGCCATCTGAATTTCTATCTTACATTTATCTTTGATTTGTCCACTTTCACATTTTGTGTGGGAATATTGTGCTACTTTAGAGTTTTGCTTTTATTCATGTCCTTGACAAAAAGATGATATATCATGTGACATATTAAATTTATTGCATATATATATATATATATATGTTTTGCTAATTGGATATCCAAATTAATTTCATATATAAATTTAGCTTCATATTATATTATATTATGTTATATATTATGTTTTTTTTTTTTTTTAATTTAAAACTTTAAGTATATTTATATGTTTTCTAAATATGAAAATATCAATGAATTGTTACAGGAACTCTTTCAAAAATTTAAGGTAGAATGTTAGATATAATTTGTAGTAAAATAAAAGAAAACAATTTTCAATTGTGATTTATATCTTAAATCAAACAAAATTACAAAATTAAATAATTATTAAGTAAATGAAATGTAGTCCACAAATGAAATATGCAGCTCATGTCATAAATATTGGTGTATTTATTACAAGGAACTTAATACACATCTACACCAAGAAAATATGTACTAAAATTACAATAGAAGTAAAAGGAAATGAGAATAAAAGAAAAAAGCGAATCAATGGCCAAAATGTTGTCACGGTCTACGACAATCACTTGCATTATCCCATGTGTACTTTCCAAAGGATTTCTGCACTGAATCCGTGACGTGGCAGTAGTTTCTGATTGGCCATTCTGGATGGTGAATAGCGACCTGCCTGACTGGATACCTACCGGGCACTCTACGTACCGATCGGTCCACGTGCGACCCTCCCGGTTCGCACCACCGCTTGCGCGGGTAAAAACGGGCTCGATGGCGCAGAAATTCCGACATGCGAGGTGAGGGAAACAATCGAGCCGTGACCGATGTCGATTGTTTTGGCGGGTCCGATGGAGCCACCAGCACCAGCTATTTCTAATTTGGGTCTCGATTTTTGAAAAAAGGCAAAGTCGTGAAAGAGGAAGAGCTCCCTCGTGTGTCCAGTTTCGTGACATTGCGGTGCACACGGACTTGACCCAGTGGCGATTCTTATACTAGGGGTGCGATCATTGGGATCTAGTATTCTGTTTCGGGGCAATTGAGAGAACCCACATTGGTAGAAAAGTCGACGGTTGAGAATTGGTATGTGTGGTAAACAGTCGGTGACTGCCTGATGTTTTGGTGTTTTATTTTTATTGAGTTGGTGCGGGTTCTCGTGGTCGGTGAACTTGTTGGATTCTCAGTGAGATTTTTGTTTAGATCATTGCGCTTCTTCGGGTTCGGGTTCACATTAGTTTAAAAATCTCTTCCCACATGAAAAATTGTTAGGGGGAAGGAGTAGAATTGACCCTCGCTGGGATTATATTGATGCAGGGAAGGGCTCTCGTCTAATTCATCTTTTGAAAGACAAAGTTGAGTTGTTGCTTCAGTTTGAGAGTACTCAAGGCTGGAGAGGGGCACCCTTATCCTTCTTATTTCTTAGGGCGTGAATTGCTGCTGGGCAGCAGAGAAACATGTGTGGTATCTTTGCTTACATAAATTGCAATGTTTCAAGGGAGAGACGACATATATTAGAAGTTCTTTTCAATGGCCTGAGGCGCCTGGAATATCGTGGTTACGACTCCGCTGGAATTTCCATTGACTCCGACGGGGATGATGGTCCTACGAAATTGCGCGGCTTGGCCGTACCTGGGTCCACTCCGCTCGTATTTCGCGAGGAGGGCAAGATTGAAAAGCTTGTTGCAAGTGTGTACAGAGGTACGTTTTCGAAATCCTAATTAAACAAAAGCAACAACCGCCAACCTTTAAGAAGCACGAAAGAATTGCTGATTGTTGGAATGAAAAACCGTAGCTGTGATCGTGGTGATGAAGTATTCACGAAATTGATCGATGGACACAGATGTGAATGAGACTGATTTGGGCCTTGATCACGCATTCAAGAATCACGCTGGAATCGCACATACGAGGTGGGCAACTCACGGTCCACCATCTCCCCGAAATGGTCATCCGCAGTCTTCAGGAAAGGGCAATGAGTTTCTTGTAGTGCACAATGGCATCATCACAAATTTCATGGTATTGCTCCTTACGACTCGATGCCTCCTCAGATACACGAGTTGCTTACATCGAACCTTTTTCTTTGTTCTTTCGTTATTTTTTGAAGAAACATCTCTTATTACCGGTATTCGACAACCTGCTACTCTTTCTGGGATGCAGAATGGGTTTTAAACCTTCATTTCAGCCTGTGAAGATATTCTTAGTTTGAAAATTTATATCATTCTCCATGGATTAAATCACTCCTCATTATTAATTGATATAATAATGCTTGTCACAGGCTTTTCTTGGTTTATGATATCCAGTTTATCTTCTTTCCTTGAAATGCTTAGTTTTTGTCCTTTTCTTTTTTCTGTATGGGTGTGCGTGCTGTTGGGGGAGGGGGACGCTTGCTCATGGACTTTTCGTTTTTGAACTGAAGGTTTTGAAGGAAACTCTTCTGCGTCATGGTTTTGAATTCGAATCAGACACGGATACGGAGGTTATACCTAAGCTTGCGAAATTTGTTTATGATTCTTTAACCGAGGATACCAGGGCTGGAGATGGAGGTCAGTTTTATGTGGTTTTTTATTTGAACCTGTGTACAGAGATCCCATATTCTTGCAGCTTGCTGAGACTAATTTTTCGCCCATTTAATGCAGACCTACACGAGGGTAGAATAACTTATATATTGTTGGCTGGAGTGCTCATCCCTGGTGTATGCAATTAATGACTCGTATATTGTATTCGGTTATAGCTGTTCCCTTGTGTATTTTCATCAATAATGGAACGGAGGTGATAATTTTTCAGGTGGCAAAGAGATTCAATTTAGCCAAGTCGTTATGGAGGTGATGCGACAGATCGAAGGGGCCTATGCTCTTATTTTCAAAAGCCCTCACTATCCAAATGAGCTCGTCGCTTGCAAATGTGGTAGCCCATTACTACTCGGTGTGAAGGTATGCTCCTAAATGTGCAGCTTCCATCACATCGGCATCAATATTTTAGAACATCTCAGTTGATTTCTTATCTTTGGGTTATAGTCTTATTGTTCAGTCTGCTGACGATTTGGGTTAATTGACACGAGCAGGAGGTAGGAGAAGCTGAGAACAGAGGTGCGTTTGTTGAAACTGAGCTGAGGCTAGCCAAAGATGGCGACAAACCAAAAGAATTTTACATTGCCAGTGATGCCAGCGCTGTGGTGGAGCACACGAAAAAGGTCATGGTGATTGAAGATAACGAGGTTTTGCATATCCGGGTTAGTACACATCCTTTTTATTCTTCTAGATACATCCATTCATCATATGATGCGGCAAGCTCGTTTATGTGTGTGCATGGCTGCTACTGCAATTATTGCTGGAGCGACCTCCTTCTTGCCATGAAGTTCTAACTAATAAAATGAAAAACTATTTGATCACTGTAAGGGCTATAAGGGCTTAATTGATCGTAGAATCTGTTATTGATCATTTGCGTGATCATCGGGGTCCCGTTGTATGCAGAATGGAGCAGTTCGGATTTATAAGTTTGAAGCGGGAAAGGCAAGGACTGCAAAGGGAGGCTTGCCACGACCGGCCTCAATAGAGCGTGCCCTTTCCATTTTAGCTATGGAAGTTGAGCAGATAAAGAAGGGAAACTACGACTATTACATGCAGGTCCGCTAATAAATTTCTGAAGCGGTGAATTTGTAAGCCATGGGTAGCAAACTTTATTTGCGTTCTGTTTTCGAGCTATCTTCTTATCTAGATATATGCATGTTTCTGACGTTATTTTATTGCTCATAATATTCATGACGTGTCAATTTTTGTTTTGTACCACATGGGATCGAAAATCCCTCGTAATATGCTGATTCTCCAGTATTTGCAATCCTATATTCTATTCTCCCTTCAAATATGATGTGTTCACATCAGCGTATCTTTATCTGCTCAGAAAGAGATCCATGAGCAGCCAGATTCGTTGACCACAACTATGAGGGGTCGGTTGATACGAGGAGGAGGTGATAACGTGAAGGGTGTTCTCTTGGGTGGTCTCAAAGATCACTTGAGAACAATTCGACGCAGCAGGAGGATCCTTTTCATTGGATGTGGTACGAGCTATCATGCCGGTTTGGCAACACGAGCCCTTGTGGAAGAGCTGTCAGGTACTTGCCATAAAATAGTAATGCATTTTCTCATGTTGCTCGACTTCCCTGTTTGTGGCATTTGATTGTGAATGGTTTGCGTCTCTCAAGTCCTGTCAGCCACATATAAGAAGTTCTCCTTTGTCGTGAGGTCAACCCAAAAGAAACAGCAGCAATAGGGATTTAGAAATATGCTCGTCAGTTTTCAGCTTTTAATTGTAAATGACTAACTCATTGTGGACAGAGGCAAGAGTTCCAACTTTTAGAAAGGTTGAGGGTGGTGGATTCGTAGTACACATGTTTTCGTCAGTTCTTAACCAAGTAATACTATCGATGGTGATCGGTTGTTGACGTTCTTTGGTTCTCAACTTCAGGTGTTCCAGTGACTATGGAATTGGCCAGTGACTTACTAGACCGGCAAGGACCCATTTACAGAGAAGACACAGCTTTTTTCGTGAGTCAGTCTGGGGAAACAGCAGATACACTTCAGGCACTAGAATATGCAAGATCATGTGGTGCCCTTTGTGTGGGAGTCACAAATACTGTTGGTAGTGCTATTGCTAGGGGCACACATTTCGGAGTGCACATCAATGCTGGCTGTGAAATCGGTGTAGCAAGTACTAAGGTACTAAATCTGATTTCTTTATTTCTATTGTTCAGGAAAACCTGTGAGTCAAGTTGAGAACATTACTTACATTATCCACTTGACAAGAATCCGCACAAACATGCTACTTTTTGAATGCTTGCGGTAGTGTAATTATTGTCACTTCTTGTGGCCAATTATTATTAACTTGCCTGCACCCTTGGTAATTTGCTTTCTCACAACCTAGTATATCATGTTATTGGCATATCATAAGCTGTTACTATTTGGATAACATTGCATGAATTGTATAGTATGACTGAGTTGGTGGGTTTCCTTTGTTATTTTCATTAACAGGCCTATACAAGTCAAATCGCTGCCATGACAATGATAGCTCTAGCACTTGGAGAGGATACCCTATCAAGTCGCAGCAGGCGTGAAGCAATTATTGACGATCTATTCAATCTTCCAGGTAACAAATTTTATTTTTCATTGTGTAGTTAAGGAAGCTGTATGGTTAGTTTCGTTGCATATAACGAACCAAAATTTCTTTTTGTCCAGACTTTAATACACCGTGTGCACCTGTCTACGCTGACGACACGTTTTCAGGATCAATAATTATTTTCAAGGTTGTAGTGGTAAACTGGTGTTAGAGTTTTAGTTTTCTAGGCTGTTTTAGTAATCAGAGTTGTGGGGTGTATGCTTGATGCATGGGGCACTTTTTGTAATTGATTTTGTTATTCCGTAATATTTAATGTGCAGACAATGTCAAGGAAGTGTTGAAGCTGGATTATGATATGAAAAACCTAGCTCAAGAGCTCATGGAAGAGCAATCACTTCTAGTATTTGGTCGAGGATATAATTATGCCACTGCTTTGGAGGGTGCACTGAAGGTTAAGGAGGTGGCTCTTATGCATAGCGAGGGTATTTTAGCAGGGGAGATGAAACATGGTCCTTTGGCGTTGGTTGATGAGACCCTTCCTATCATTGTCATCGCCACTCGAGATGCAACTTGCAGGTATAATGTGGACATTTTCCTGCTTTTTTTCCCTCCTCCTATTCAGCTGAGACCTCAGATGCTTTTGTACTTCGCAAAATACGTAAACTCAAGAATAAAATGTGAGAATTTTAAGACTGTGTGAACATCTCGAAGTTGTGCTTTCTTTACTTGCTTGAAGAGAGTTTATTATTACGTGTGCCATCCTGATGCTGATCCCTTTGTATTTGCAGCAAGCAGCAATCTGTTATACAACAATTACAAGCACGCAAAGGTCGTCTTATTGTGATGTGCTCAAAGGGCGATGCTGATCTCATGTGTCCGAATGGTGGCTGCCGTGTTATTGAGGTTCCACAACTTCAGGACTGCTTGCAGCCTATCATCAACATCGTTCCATTCCAGGCATGTTTCTATAGCTTATGCAAGATATAATGCATACTTTATTAGTATTATCAATCTGAAATTTGATTTGTGTGAATGAAAGTGCCTTTTTTGTCTTTTTTCTCTTTACGAAGTTGATATGTTACTCATTAAACATTTTCGATTGGTAATTCAGAAATTTGATGGGGTAAATTTTTCGGAGCAATGTGTTTTTAAACTCACGAAGAGCAGAATCGCCAACAACTATCTCGATGGACTTGCTGACTTAGTGATTTGTTTGCATTTTCTTTTTGCAGCTATTAGCTTATCATTTAACAGTTCTGCGTGGCTTCAACGTGGACCAACCTCGGAACTTAGCTAAGAGTGTCACAACATCATGACCAATTCTACTCTGGTCTCTATTTGTTGGGAGAATCGTGCACAAACTGCGCAAGAAAAGAATTCATCACAGTAGGCTGAACTGGGTCTGGAAAATGAGCTGGTGTGCCATGGGGTTCTATTGTAGTAATAAAAAAAGCGCTGTCCATGGAATCTTCTGGAACTCGGTCTTCGAAAACTCTATTATTCGGTTCACAGAGTTTTAGTGTATAGAAAAAGTGCAAACACTAGCCAAAAATTAAGGACTTATCCCTGTGAGAGTCCTTGACTCGTTCCTTCATCAATAGACACACGTACGAATCCATCCCACTTACTGTAGGTAGCTTAAAGAAGAGGGTTGCATATTCAGAGGACATCAAAATCTCAGTAACCAAGCGTGCTGAGCGTATCAAGATGCTTACGTCCTACTCTAAGGTTATCTTCTCTTTGCAGCTAACATCCGTATCAAGTATTCCCAGTGTAGTTGTAGGTGGAAGAAAAACCCCTGTACCTCCTATTTCCTTTGTATATAAAATCTTAGTGCGTGATTCCTGCCCAGAGCTGCTTCGTCGTGCTATTTGAGAAGGTTCTTTCCTTATCGTTTTCCATCGCTGTATTTTTTGTACCTGTACATGCTGGGGGAATCTTAACTGCTTAAGATACATATTGTATTCATCAGGCCACAGCAGTGGGCCAATTGTGTCTGGACAATTCGCTTGACTAGAGATACCACAGTGATAGCAAATCAGGTGCAGTGGACAGCACCCAAAAGGTCACCGTGTGAAGAAAACGTAGCTATGAACATGACAGTCATCAGAAAGATTGAGTTAGAAATAAAGGCACTATTTCATGCCCTGTTTGTAATTTCCCCCCCGTACTTTTTCCTGATAACACCTATTGATGACTACATTTCATTTTTGTTTTCACTTGGATTCTCTCCGACCCCTTAAGTCAAGACATTGCTGTTAGCAGAATTTATTCTTCGATCATACCATTCCAACTGGATAACGACAGCATAATTTTGGTTCCATGAAGCCAATGCACGTTATCTACAATGAACAATTCTCATGTTGTCGATTTCTCACCAAAGGCCTAAGTGGTGGATTGTGATTGATAACGGAAGATTCGTGTTGGCTCTTCTTATTTGATGTCACCATCACGATTGTTTCTCGAGTGCATGTAACAAGTATATCAAAGACAACACCTGCGATATGCTCACTGCGACAAAACTGAAGGATTCACATTGGTCTTGACCTTGAGCTACCCATCAAGCAGACATTTAAACCACTGATGCACCTATGATGTCTAGAAGAACTGTTGTAAGATACCCATGGGAATCTTACAACAGGCATTACATTGCGCGGCATTGCTGACACGCACTTGTATATGCAGAGATTGGAATGCAAGAGAAAAGAATGCAAGATGCTCACTGCAACAAAACTTTCGTAGAAAATTGGGTGAATTGGTAAGAACTGGGGAGCCTCAAATTGTTTTAAATCCAATGCTATCAATCTAGCAGACTATCAGACTAATTGGACGCAGCCATGGTCCTGAAACAATCTATCACTTGTTGGGTAATACACAAAAAGCGGACGGAAGAATCAAACCTCCTCAACTTGGGGAAGGCTCATCAACGCAAGAACGGCGGTCTTCGGTGTCAACTCGTTGTCGAGGATTCTTGCCACAGCGGTGAGAACTGGCATCTGCACGCGGTACTTCTTAGCCAGAGAGATGACAGCTCCTGCAGTTGCAACGCCCTCCGCAACCTGGCTCATAGAGGATAGAATATCTTCCAGCTTCTCTCCAGATCCCAGACGCACCCCAACTGACCGGTTCCGAGAGAGGTTTACGAAGCACGTGAGCATGATGTCGCCGGAGCCAGACAGGCCGGAGAGGGTGTGAGACTTTGCCCCCATTTTTTCAGCTAGCCATCTGATCTCGGAACATCCTTGAGCCACCAAAGCTGCCATGCAGTTGTTGCCGAGATTCATGCCTTCAACAATACCAGCTGCAATTGCAAGAACATTCTTCAATGCGCCTGCCATCTCCACTCCTATGACGTCGGTGGAAATATTCACCCTAAGATAGCGGGAAGCAAGCAATTGTTGACAGGCTCGAGCGAGTTCTTTGTCTCGAGAAGCAGCCACCATGGCCGTGGGAAGCTCGTCCATGAGCTCAATGGCGAAGGAGGGGCCGGATATTACCGCAACGGGTTGTCTGGGATTGCCGAGAGCGCGGGGGATGACCTGGGACATCATCTCTAACGTTGAAAGCTCCAAACCCTTACTCACAGAAAGGATGGGGAGAGTTGCAGGAACGTGTTCAGCAATGCTACGGAGAAACTCCGAGCTGGATTGCACGGGGACAGCGTGAACGCAATACTGAGCATCCTGAAGAGCTTCTCTGGGGTCTGTGGTTGCGGTTACGTTCTTCGGAAGCTGGTGCCGCGGGAAGTACTTGAGGTTCATGTGGTGATCGTTGATGGCTTGGCAGATGGCGTGATCTCGGAGAAGGAGAGTGACGTTCATGTCAGCTTTGTTTCGGGCCAGCAGAACTGCCATGGCTGTGCCAAAAGACCCTCCTCCCAGGACGACAATCTTTTTAGTCTTCTTGAGGGCGTTCTTCCGGCGCTCGTTCAGGAGCTGCCATGAACGAGACCAGCGGACGAGCTTCTCCCATGCTGTGCGAACAGCCTTCCGCTCCTCTACGTTTCGAATGAATAAACCCGAAGAGCTGGGAACGGCAGCCTCGTCTGTACCTGAGAAAATGTCAGTTTCTAGGTTCACACGATCCGCACTATTTGTGGCATCACCCACGTCAAAGGAAATCAAAGCACCATCTCCCTGGTGGTCTCTAACAATGCTCAAAGGTTCTTCCTCCACAGCTTCATCCTCAATACTCCATTGCGTGATCTGAGCTTCCGGAGCACCTTCGCTAGAGTCCAATACGAAGGATTGCGAATGCAGCTCCTGCTCTTTTAATGAACATACCGTTCCACTCCAATGCCCCTTCTGGGTACTGAAACCTCCAACCCAAGAAGATGAACTTGCGCAATTTCGTGCGGAAGCGAGAAATTCTAGCCCTGCACTCTCCGCCAGTAGTAATGGTCTCTTTGAAACTCCAGTCACAGTCACCGACTTCTTTAAGTCATCGCCGAGCCACGCCCGCCCCACCAACGAGGATGCACATGGGACTGAACTGCGGATATGAGACTCTGGCGAGAGATGGATTTTGGAAGGATATGGGAGGTAGAAATTAGTCGCAGCCATTGCAAAGGAGGTGGAATTCTTGGAGATTCAAATTCCCTCACCATTGGTGCCAGGAGCCTAACCTCTCCTCTCCATCTCTCTCCCCGTCACATATACTCAACTATTCAGTAAGCCTCTCCATTGAACGCGACCTCAGTCATCGAGAACCTAAACTCATCACGAAAGAAAATGTAGAATCAGAGAGTGACCATCAACCGTCAAAATTCCCCAAAACCCTCAGAATCCTCCAACCTTACCTCACCGAGGGAGTCAAGACATTGAATTTAAGCAATCAGTGCAGACTCGTGACGAATTCCTCCCCAATCACAACCCAAATGGCAGTGGAGCTCGCCATGCACGCGCTCTAGTTCCCAGGAAGGCCAGGCTACAGAGATGTATTGATTGTTAGTTGAACTAGCACCTCTCGGTGATGACCCTCTCTCACTCCAGCTGCTCCTTTCCTATTATACAGTTCTTCCACTGATCACGCTTGCAGTTGACAATGGTCAAGGAGTGTGTGGCGCTGGAATTCCACGCAGAAGGTTCAGACTTCGGCATTGGGTGTGTACAGGAAGCACTCCGGCAAGTGTGAAGAATAGTGGCTATCATGCACTCCGAGTGCAGCCAGTGGGAGCATGGATAGCAAGATTTTGCTGGACGGTGGATGAACAATGTCTCCTTTCCGGATGAGCCTCTGACTCGGCATCTAGGCAAGTGCTTTATTCGGGGGGTTTAGGGTTTAAGGTAATTTTACGTAGTTTTACTTCGAGTTGGGTCTTCGCGCAAGTTGACGAACAGCACAATAATGCCGAAATTGTGCATATTCTTTTGTGTTTTCGCAGCTGTTTGCGAAAGATGGCAGTTTCCATGCTCCAACTGAGCCGCTCAGGCGCTCATGTGGATGTTGAAACTTCTCGTAGTGCTAGGCATTGTGTGGGAGATGGGGGTTTTTGGAACTTGAGAAAGCGGGATTGTTCTCTCCACCAGGTGAGTGATACCTTGGCGCTCAGCAACTGTGTTTGCAGGGTTTCTGGGATGAATGTGCATGCCCAGAGCTTGAGTCTGCAGAGAATTGTCCAATTCTGATAGAGTTACGAACGACGTAGTACACATGTCTACGGGTACACACTTGCGAGCGTGTAGCTATGTTCTCTTGGGTTCCACTCTTGTGTGTCTAATTTCATGACTTCTAGAGGATTTCAGCTCTTTGAAGTTTTCGTTCGTATATTATTAGTCTTCTTTGGGGATTACAATTTTAACAGTCCCCAGATTCTTGTGGCGTTCAGCTCTCACAGGGACTTACAATTTCTCGGAAAGAAAACTTTCTCCATTTTCGTTATTTTTGAATAAAAGTTTTCAAACCATCAACTCTGGTTTCCTTCTCTTTCTGTTTATGTAGGTGTTTGTTGCGCAACCACTGCATACTGGATGAGAGTCAAGAAAAATGACTTGGAAGTTTACCTTAATAGTTTCTTTGTGAAATTGCTGGGTATGGTTATGACGTGTGAGGGCAGTGTGGTGGGAATTGTGGTGCAGAGCGACAGCACCAGCGAAGCGTCGATTCTTTTCTATCCAGGTAATTACAGAAAAAGATACATACTAGACCTTGTGCTGCATTAAGCTGAGCATGTGAATCCTCGAATATTAAGTTCAATGCGTTGAGTCTGTGGTTAACTGTATCTATTTACAATAGTGAAGGTTCTCCAATGCGGATTCCAGAAAAAGATGCGAGAAGCTCAAAAGAAGCCCAGCAGACAGACCTCTTCTGAAATTTACGGTTTCCTCAGTTCAAGAGACACAGAAAGCTGCTAGTCTTTTACATGATATCTATGGTAAGTGCGTTTATCTCTTGCAATGGCTCTGAATTGTGAATGGATCTGAGGATTATTATGTTTTAGATTCGTCAATGGTTAAGCTTCTGCATTTGTTCCAATATGGTTGTTATAATGCGCCTTAACATGGAAATTAACTTGTATGGCGAGGTTACAGTGGGAGCAGTGGCTGGAGCCACAGCAGGCGTAGTAGTGGAGGCAGCGTTGTACCCAATTGACACCATCAAAACCCGTCTTCAGGTTTGCACAATGAATGTTATCCTATTATTTAAATGGTAAGGGTTTTCGTTTTCTTTATTCGTTGTCCAATACGCCTCTGCGATATACAGCCACCTTCACAACAAACGGGCAGTAACTATTGTTTTCACTCTTAGTACTGAGGATTGAATTTCATAGTGTGTAGTCTTCTTCTTCTGTTCACTTTTATCTAATTTGATAGGGATCTATACCACAATGGGTTACTAAATTGCTATTTTTTCGTGGCTCGGATTATTTGACAGGCAGCGCATTTGGGGGGCAATCCGTCACTATTTAAGGGACTCTACTCAGGCCTTGCGGGCAATCTTGCTGGTGTCCTCCCGTTAGTAACTGCTCTTACTACTCTTCTCCTAGCTTGTGGTTTCATTCTCGTGTCTATTTATTTTCCTAATGCAACTATTCGTCAAAAAGTCATGTTCGTGCATTTAATGTAAAACGATTGTTGTACTGTCAGCACCCCAAGATTGTCTCAAGCCTATCAAACATGAAATATTTTTAGAACAAGCTCTGTTATTTGAAAAGCTATGGATCTGAAAGTGTATCTTCATGAACTTAATATTTTACACGAGTATGCATTTTAGGCGCCAGTGTCTATGATAGCGAGCTTCATCTTCCCATCTTGTGTGCTGCTTTTGGTTCCATATACGGATTTGGTGTTGTCTTAACTATATGAGCAACAGGGCATCAGCTGTTTTCGTGGGGGTGTACGAGCCTGTGAAACGAAAGTTGCTAAGTGTTCTTCCAGACCAGTTCTCCTCAATCGCCCACTTGGTACAGTTTCGTACTTTGATTTAGTTTGTCTTACCTCATAGGGTGTAGGATGTGATTTGAGTAATTTAATAATGGTTCTGTTTGGGGTTTTCTCCTGCAACAGACAGCAGGCGTTTGCGGAGGGGGAATATCGTCTTTAATTCGAGTTCCTACTGAGGTACAGCAACTGTACATTAATCATAAAATGTCATATCATAAAGTAAGAGGTTATTGTAGAATGATGATGTTGACTTGGTGGAAAGGTGTTCTTGAACCAGCTAGACCAGCTCTCTGGATTCGCTGTGGTCTTTTCACAACCAACATATACAGCTGGTGTAGTATGTCACATTGCTTTCAAGTGATACTTTGCCAATGTACAAATTCCTGGCGAACTTGTTAACTGTTAGAATGATGCAGGTTGTCAAACAGAGGATGCAAACTGGACAATTTGTATCTCCCCAATCAGCTGTACGCCAGATCGTGGCGAAGGAAGGCATTCGGGGACTTTATGCTGTAAGTTTTTGAGCTTTCTGAATGATCAGAGTCTCCATGCTTATATGATTCTTTTGCGTGTGTTCGTCCGCCCTGCCCGTGGACAAGTATCACATAATTTTCCCACAACCTTGTTAGTATGAATTCATGCTTACACTGTCATTGGTTGTGATTTACAGGGCTTTCGTTCATTCTTGTTACGAGACCTACCATTTGATGCATTCCAGTTTTGCATCTATGAGCAATTAAAGATCAGTTATGCAAAACGGGTGTGCACTTCTTTCACTCTGAAATAGGGTTCAACAATTATTCGTATGCGAAAATTGATCTTTACGTAAATTTTTAACAAGGGATGTCTTTGTCTTCAACTTTTTAGGTGCGGAGAGAACTTAATGATACTGAAACTGCCTTCATAGGTGCAATAGCAGGTTTGTACACGATCTGTGTTGAATTGAAACAAAAAATTTTTGCTACTTTCCCAGTCTCATTGACAGGATCGAAGACGCCATAAAGTACAATAATTTTATTGTACCCTTGTCAGAGAATCTGATTATAATTTGCAAGGAGAACTTGGTCTTAAGAGGTGTTCTGTTTACTTGCCGCAGGGGCAATGACAGGTGCTGTGACGACTCCACTTGACGTCATCAAGACACGGCTTATGATTCAGGTCTATCATTACAATACAATCCTTTCTTTGGAGAATGTGTTGGTATGTAGATGTTTCCCAATAATTGTGTCATTGCCAAGGTTACTGTATTTTTTGCTCATGCATCTGCTTAGTGTGTCCCTACTGTTAAGTAAGATTCACTTGTCTTCTTTCCTTATACCAGGTGGTAATTAAATAGCAGAAGCAATATAAGATCCCTGCGTTTCATCATAATTGGTTCCTCACGTCAAAACTCTTATCATGTTGTAGGGACCTAACCAGCAGTACAAAGGCATCCAAGACTGTGTTGTGAAGATCATCAGAGATGAGGGTGCCGGTACCTTGTTTCAGGTTCTTTTTCTTCATTGCTCCTCTACGGTTCTTCAGTTTCTGATCCTTTATAGATTGCTACCTGAAGTTCTCGATTGAAAACGCTAAGCTTTGCCATTAATCGTACTACTCAGGTCCACACGTCTGTTTTATGATATCACTGTCAGTTCATAGTAAACGTTCTCTTTTCTGTTTATTTTTACTTCCTTCTTTTAGTTTTATCACCAATATTAAGCAGCCAACGACAAAGTGGGGTTGGTGTGGTAGGGTTTGGGTCCCAGGATCTTATGGATTGGTGTCGGAGGCTCCATTTTCTTCGGTGCTTTGGAAAAGACAAAAGAAAGCATGGAGGAAAGATCCTTGTCGAAGATAATTACAGCACCTGCTGGGTATGTGTAGAGCATAATATCAACTTGCAAATGGATAAACATCCTTATGATGTTAAAGAGCAGCCTAAACCTTTTGAACTTGTCACCAACCCCATAGAAGCACCATTTAGCAAAGGTATCATGATACATGAATTAGGCAAGCTTTAGTGAACAGCTGCAGTTGGCATTGACCTTGAGATGTTAAGGTCTCAATTGAGTTTGTATGAATAGGTACATTAGACAGATAGTGAATTAAGACCAGGAAAACCTCAGTGGAAATTTTGGTGTCTAAATAATAAGGTATTGAAGCAGTGATTGTAGACAATTGTTATGCAAATGACATGTTACATGGTATCATAATATGTAGTGGTATGGATTATAAACTACTAATATAGAATGATCTCAAGATGACACTTTGTAGTCAAAAAAGTGAGGGCGTTGGATGTGTCACTAATATGATTTTTGTACAATACTTTGTTGTATATACAGAACTTAAGACTTTTTTTAATTTTTTTATTATTGTAGTACATTATTTATAAATTCGTACTTCATGTAATTTTTGTTTATTTTAGATCTGTAATAAAATTTTACATCTTGCTGATGCACTAATTAGATATAACTTTTTAAATCTGGTATCCTAAGCAATATTTAGAACATGTAATCTGTAAATAGCAAGGAACAATAATAATAATAATTATACTGTTTCTTGTTAATTCAATAACAAAATAATTTAATAAATTTAACAAACAAATACAAAAAGCATCTATGCAATAAAACATGAATGCAAAAATCACACAAATATTTAATACAATTATTGGAATGAATGAATATATATATATATATATATATATATATATATGTATATACATACTAGTGGAAATCCATGATATTGGCTATGAAAAAAATCAAATATTTGAAATATAAAATATGATTTTACATAATAGTTGTAAAAGGCAATGTTGCTTTTGACAACCTTGATTGGGAGCTTTCAAGCTCTATGCCTAGTGATCTTGCAGTGCTACTCTTAACAATCTATAGCAACAACATACAATTTCTGATCTTTGATTGATCAAAAGTTGAATTATTGCTTCACTTTTGATGAAAACAGTGAGATATGCAGCTAAACACACAAGATTTTTCCCTCCTCTAGTTTATCTCATTGGTTTATCTCCCTTGAGTTGTTATATATATATATATATATATATATACAAAATAATATTTTATAATAAAAAAATCATGAAACTAGAAATTAATTAGTAGATGATTTATGCATTAAACATAAATATGTCTTTTAATTAATTTTTTATTATCTTTTTAATATAAAATAATATATTTAAAATACATGTGTGTTGTGGTAAAACACATTGTATAATATTTTTCTAATATATAAAAAAAAATAAAAGTTAAGGTCATAACATCATTTGGTAAAAATATTTCATTAAAAAATTATAATATCTAATCATATTAGAGACTATGAAACTATATATTTTTTACACATCACAAAATTTAAATCTATTTCTATTTTTCAAACCTTCAACAAATTTTATTATTTTTATATGCATCAAAATAAAATATATAAACATCTATATAATAGTGCTTTTAAACATTAGAATATTGGCATATTACATTGATAAAACATTGCCAAGCAATAAAATTTATTATTTGTATAAAAATAACAATAATAATTATCATTTTATTTTATTTTTATAATATCTTTTTAAATTATTGATAAAAAAACTTATATAATTAAAAAATGTTCTAAAAACAATTCAACCTCTTCAAGTCATTGCACCAAATTAAGTATTACACATTGTTTTTAATTGTCATCCAATTTCCCTTAAATCTTGTAATTTTTAGACTTCTATGGTTTTAACTTCACAAATAAAAGATCGTCTTTTCGAAGATATTTTTTTATTAAATATATATATATATATATATATATAATAAATTATTATTATTAATACATATAAGATATTATTAATAATAATTATGGAAAATTAAATTTGTAAAATTTGTAATAATTATGGAAAATAAAACATTTATATGACTCTTTTTTAAAATTTTCATATTGGTAATTTATGCTATACCATTCAAAAATTTAATATGAACATGTAAATTTCCTTAAGATAATGCAAGATCTTGTAAGCATTATCTATAATCTTCCAATTAGCAAATTTAATATAAAAATATTTAACAAGATAATTGAGTTTTAGTTATATTATTCAAAGTTGGTGGTACTAAACTTGGTATACAAAAGGCCATTTTTAGATTTTTTTTGCATAGCCTCAACCTAATGCATTTTATCAAAACTTTTTCTTTCTCAACAAAAAGTAGATACAAGAATATATTTTTTGGATTAATTTGATGTATCTATTGAATTGAAACAATAAATTAATCATAATACTTATAATAGTGACTATTTTAAAAGCTACAAAATGGTTTTTCAATTTTTCTAGAAATCTAAAGAAATAGGCTATTAAAGCTTATCATGTAAATCGGCATTAGAGAAAGAGACAATATTAATAGTACATATTTAATACCTTTTATATCATGTAACATACTTTAAAATCTTATATCATCTTTCACAATTTTTTGTAGAATTTTAAAAACCTCTAAAACTACCTAAAAAATTCAATTAGGTTTTAACATGTAGAACCATGGTTTCAACATGTAGATTTATTTCTTCTCTGACAATAACTAGTAACCACAATCTATGATAAAATTAACATGGATTCTTTAATCAAGAAAAATGATCAGCATTTTGAATATAAAAATTCAAGATTATCATTGTCAAAGAGGCTCAAATTTTGATTTGATTTGATTTGATTTGATTTTTTTTTTTTTTTTTTTCAATAATCAACAAGCAAATTTAGTGTTACATTATTACATTCTTCTACATGTATAAACCCCCACAAATAGTTTTGGAGACCTCAAGCATTTCTTGATTATTTAAAACTAGTTATTTAGGTGGATGTATTTTTTTAAAAAAATTAATAAGAATAAATGACTAAAGTCATTTTTTTCCTTACATTTTACCCCAGTCAAAGTTATTTCAAGTATTCAATAAAGGTCGTTTCTTACTTCTCGAAAAAAAAATCATCAAATTCTTTATTTATTTTTCATATCCATTGATTTTAATAGGTAATAATTAAACAGTAAAGAAAGAATTAATAATAGAATAATTATTTGTTTAACAGTAATCAGTAAACTGTAGAAACATAGCATCTTGCAAAACCTATATGTCTTCCTAATTATTAAACTTTGATTGAGTGCATATGTAAATGACACATATGGGTGTGTAAATAACTTGAAAAAAAAAGAGGGTAATTTAGCTTGAGTCTCTTTCTGAATCCAAACTCTAAAAAAACCATATGACACAATATGTTCATTCCATCCACATTCACAAGATGAAACTTGCGGTTTCATTTTAGGGTTTCGTTCTTTAGGGTTTTGTGTTGATGAAAGCCAACTTTTTTTTCCTCTAGGGTGCCTATAGCTTGCCCAGAACGATTGTGAAAAAAACTAATAAAACGCTCCAGGAATGAGGATAAAATTCAACAGCCACTAATTCCAAAGCCAAGACATGGGGCATAAGTTTATCACACACTACAAAGTGGGCTCCACACTAGACTTTAACTTTTATTGCAAGGGCGTCTGTTCCGCCTTAAAAAAGCAAAAAGTAAAAGGAGCAGGCATGGGCTCTCCGCGCCGATGGACCACTCAAATGCGGAGACCGAAACCCGATGGAAATTTGAAAGCGAACTTTGGGTTGATTACGACCTGCTCCAATGAACAGCGGCTGTTGGGAGCTTTGACCCGCGCGATTGGGAAATTACGGACGGTCATGGATCACCGTGTAACGGTGAGGGATCCCCCGAAGGCGACGGGATACCGCCCCGCCTCGCCCCGGTCACCGCGCCCTCCCCCGTGCTCACAGGGTAGGCGTTCTCCTTCCCGCAGAATGACGAAGGAAGCGTAGGAATTCGTCGAAATTGGGGGCGTCGGAGGAATTCTTATTCTCGCGGTAATCCGACGTCGCCATCGTCCCGGTTTCAATCCGTGTGTCGATCGACGAGGGTATCGCCAATTTGGTGTTGATGCGGGCGGGCGATTAGTTTGGGATAGGAAGGAGGAGGAGGAGGAGAGATTTGCCGAGACGTTCGAAGAGGAGAGTGGGAGAGTGGGCAGAGGCGTGGGGGAGAGATGGGGGGATTGATTCGATTCGGTACTTGGGGATGAATGGGAGTAGTGCCAATGGTGAGGTGCTGCTGCTGCTCATTAATGACGATTGTTCGTGTGGAAATTGGAGCGATGAAGGAGGTGCGAGTGTTATTTATGGCTACTCTTTTCTGGTCGTGCCGTTGATGGATATTCCACTGGAGAGAATTTGTTTTACCTGTCGAGGTGAACAAGTGAGTGCTGGCGTAAGGTGTTTTCGCGTGCTGGCGTTTGGGCTATGATTAGGGAGAGGGATATCTATCTATCTATCTATCTATCTATCTATACATTTTTATTTTTATTTTTTTCGCTTTAATTTTTTTCATTCGGCGGAAGTTACCCCAGTTTGCTGGATCTAATAACGGCGTAGTTCTCCCGCGGTCGATCGCAGTTCCCGAGCTACGTTTGACTTTGGAATGCCGGTTTTCACGACACGAGCCTCTGCTCTTGTGCAAGATCTTGGGTCTCCTCTGTTGTGAGGACTGGAATTTCGAACACCATGTTGTCGCTTCTTCAGGTTTCCTCTTCGGGCGGCCCAATTTCTTTCTTGCCTCTTTCTGGGCCTTGTCCCCTTCCTCGGCCTCAATTCGAGAATTCCCTGCGAATTCTGAATGCTGGGTGCTTGTGATCCATTGTTTATCTATCGAGTCTCTTAATCTGGCCGCAACCATTCATTGGTCTCGGAGAATAAGCCACTTGATTCGCTTCTTGTCCCCGAACACGTCTCACCTTTGTGAATTCCCTTCCAACTGAGGTTGTGCTCCTCATTCCGAAATCTTTGAGTGACTTGGCTGCCCCATTGCAATCAGTAGGGATTTGCGAGAAGCGGCGACATTAACTTCAACTGCATCTTTGCGTCTCCGTGCATCGGTGCTTTAGGTGTGCTCTTTGTCTGTAAACCTCTAGCATTTTCAGACCATCGCTGTTCTAAGCATCACCGCTCAAACCTTGCTGTTTCTGAGGCTGCTTGTAGACTAGAATTTTCAGTAATTAACTTATCCTGGTCAGAATCACTTCTTTCTTTCTTCGTCTTTAGTATCACATGTTACCAGATATGTATACATACAACATCTCGTTCTTTAGAGAGATGCGTACGTCGAAAGTGATTGTATTTTCTCTGTGGACTTCTTACCGAATCTGTCTTTGTGTTGGACACAAATTATATAGATTGTAAAATTTCCACTGAAGTCCTTTTGCTGTGCCTGTCAGTGAGGTCCAAAACCCATTTTTAGGTAGCATCCAAATGCTATGCAGCTACTGCTCTGGATGTCATTGTCGCTCTTCATATGCAGCGCAGTGTTTTTTTATTTTTTTATTTTTAATTTTCCTTCTGTGCTGTCATGATTAGCTTTTTTTCGCCGGTTAGACCTACTTCCAAGTTCTTTTTGACGATCGCCTCCGATGGAACACTACCAAGAAAATTGATCTGTTTGTTTTGAGCAGGAGGTTTTGCTTCTGAGGCTGGTCTGTGGAAGAGTATTGGATTAGGTCTACTACGAAAGGCTCCTTGAGACTGTTTTGCATCACCAGGAAATGTGTGAAAGTTTGTCAAAAGCAATTTTGGCGGCAACAGTCGACAAGTGGAGTGAGCATAGTTTTGCGGCATTTGTCATTTCTTCACTCAAAACAGAGTAGAGGCAGCACTGCAAAGAGAACGGGAAGCTGTAATTGCTATTTAGTCATTTTTAAGAGTTTAGTAAACCTCTGTCGAGCTCGGAAGATACAAATCTCATGGCGCATGATAGGGTTCACTTGAATGTTGGGGGCAAGCATTTCGTCACTTCTCGGACAACTCTTGCAAACGCAGGCAGGGGATCAATGCTTGCAGCAGTGATAGATGAAAATTGGCAGCTAGTACCAGACATAGCGTCCAATGAGCTCTTTATCGATAGGAATCCGGCTTATTTCACTGTCCTTCTGGATCTCCTACGAACTGGTGAACTCCATATACCCCCAGGTAGGAGAACCTCTACACTCAAGTGTAGCTAAATTATGCCTCATCCTCTACATTGGGCTTTCAATATTGCAATGCAGAATGATCTCTTTTTAGGGTGTCTGAATTGTGAGATAGACTGAAGCAAGCATTATAAATCATTCGCAGGACGAGCTCCTCACTCTCGATTTGTGGTGATTTTTAGGTATGCTGGAGAAACCTCTGTACAGAGAAGCTGAGTACTATGGCATACTTGATCACGTTAAAGCTGCCCGCAAAGGTCCATTGAATGGGAATCGACTGGACTGCGTTGCTTCTATCAGTGGACGAGCTACTGGTGATGGAACTGCCATTCGTGCATCCCCAGATGGTGGATGTTGTGTTGCTCATGGAAGCATGGTACATGTCTATGATTGGTTGATGGAAGAAAAAACTCCACTCACCTTAGACTATGTAAATGTAAATGACGTAGGATTTCTTAGCCCAAATCGAGTTGTGATCTGCACCGGTGAACGAGAAAATGGAGCTGGAGGGATGGCCTCCTTCAACACAAAGACGGGGAAAATTGAGCACAAGTTTCAGGTTTGCACATAAATTGCACATGATGTTTCAGGGTTTGCTTAGCAGATGCATCGCGTGACCGCAGCATAGCTACCCAACTGCGCTGGAATCGTTTTCACTTTCTGTTCTATTTTGAACTTATCGATTAGTCCTGGTGACATTTGCAAAATGGTTGGTGAATTCTTGTTTGTGATCATACATTATTGATCCCTAGTAGGTGGCCTCGCGATCCTGGTCCCGTCTGCTCAATACCGACATCCTTGTTAAATTTTTTCAGGTTGTTCACGATGGAGAGTCGAAAAATTTCACTGCAGCTGCACTTGCCAGTAATGATATCCATGTATATGCCAGCTGCCGAGGTAGGAGCTACGAGTATGGGGTTGGAACTTGGGACCAAATTACTGGTCGACAAGTGACATTTCTGTACGAAGGTCCAGGACGGCCTTTAGGCGATGCCTGCAAAATGCAGTGGTTGCCCCGGACAAACCTCCTTCTTGTGGCTAACTTGTTTCCGAGTAGTGATCACTGTTTCATTACTCTTCTTGATTCTAGAACAAAGGGAAAGGTAAGACGTTCCTTGACTTTTTTCCTCCCTGAATGAGATCCTTCATTCTTACTGTAGGTCAGAGTGGTTAGCCTTGAGAAGATAATTGTTTGGTGCGTGGCATTGTTCAGTATTTGCCTTCTTCGACACATTCAATCTCACATCTTGCGTTCTCGATTGTCTTGCTCTCTTCCTCTAGGTGTGGTCGTGGACAGATGTTGCCCTGCGAGGTACAGCCGATGAAAAGATAGTTATGGATACGGTGGCCATGGAAGAGTGCTCCACAGTTTGCGTAGTCAACCAGTTTGACAATCTTGGTTTTATTGATATGCGAACCAATAATCAAGGTGTACGGTGGAGCCATAGATACCAACCCAGCAAAATCTCTGAGGCTGAAGAACGGTGCTATTCGAAACTTGCTTGTAGCGGGTCGCAACTCTTCTCAAGCAAGAACGACAGCGTCTATGTCTTCTGTAGTCCAGATTGGGACGCTTCTAAGGGGGTTCAAACAGCAAGATTACGACGAAAAGAGGGTGGAGCAATCAGTGATATTTCCGTAGGTGGGGACAGGCTTTTTGTGCTTCACAATGAGGAGGATGTATTCGATGTTTGGGAAACTCCAGGGCCGTCGCAGATAGTAGATATTTACTAAAATTCAGGTACTCTGATGTTTCCTTTTGCGAAAAAGTCGAAGCAACTCAAAAATTAGAAATCAAAACAAAGGAAAAAGAAGAAAAAAAAATAGACACATTGGTCACTCAGATCCCGATGGTCTGTTGAGGCCTGTGGAATGACACAGGCAACAGCACCATATGGGGATTTGCTTTGTCATTCAATTGGAAATGACAATCACCCAACTAAACATTGATAGCTGATGCTGGACGGACTTGCTGGACTGTGCTCTGATCCCTTTCAGCTTCGAGTAGCCAGATCGAACATACTCGTATTACTTGGATATCTCCCCTAAAAGATAGCTTCTACGTCCCTTACTAACTCGAGGTTACTTGTGGACCCAAAAGCGGCCCCAACGATACTCAGCAGGGGCAGGATGTTTCTGATCTTTCAAATTGATCAGCTTACTTTTGAACACTCTTAACTCTACTGGCAGACTTTCTAAGTCTGGAGGAAGTGAGCAGAGGAAGCTCCGTTAAGTGCCCTGCAATTGCTGCGATGGAAGATCATAGCTTTACATTGTTAAGCGTTTTTATTAATCATTCAAATATTTTTCTTCAAATAACAGCCTCACTATTTTTATGATCACTTTGATTCTGACATCCCCAGCAACCACTAAATGTCATCATCGGTCAAGTCGCACCAGGAGAGAAGCAATTTTCGCGGCTAGGGCCCCAATTCACCACACCATCGTGTTCAAGCTCTTCCGAGTGGCTCTAAGAGTTGGTGAAGGGGTATGGGATGCACATCGTTGATTTACAGTTCAACATGATCCAAGTACTTTGATGTGATGTTGAATATGCTCTTCAACAAAAGTGGCAATGAAGAAGTACGAGTGGTCATAGCCGGGCAGAATGCGAACCTCCACAGGCATCTCTGCACTCTTGCACGCCGCTTCAAAATTTTCCGGCAGAGGCTGCTTCTCTTTGTAGAACTAGTCCTGGTCACCCTGAAAACAATCAACTGAAATCACATTCCAATCCTCCAGCAAAATTCAAAAGGACAAGATAACTGTCTTGAGATTACAACTTGCCTGATCGACAAGAATGGTTGTCTTCGTCCCGTGATATTTCTTCACGAGCGAAGTAGCGTCATACTTCTCCAAAGCCGCCTTCTCTACTCCCAAGTATCCCTTGAAGGCTTTCTCTCCCCATGGACACGCCGTAGGGTTGCAAATCGGTGCAAACGTAGACAAAGACTGCAAAACCAGGGACAGCATTTAAACTACATTCATTTAAACTACATTCTATGATTTCTTCTCATCCTTCATCTCATCTCCCTCCTTTCCTTTTTTTGTTTCTTTTTCCAGCACGTGCGTTTTTATCCAGTTGACTTTCGTTTGATGATATGATATTTTCAACAATTTACCAAGACTTTTAATCTAAATTATAATGACAATTTAACTAAAGGCTCTGTTAATCTGGTGTTCATATTCTCTTGGGTTGAAATTCTGTTGAGAACTATTAATGTCCTTTTTTTTTTTTTATCTTTGTATGTTTGTGCTTTCACCAGGACTTTGCAACAACATTGTTGTGTATTTGCTTATCAAGAACAGATGGCTGCAATGTTGAAACATGGATCATGAGCTGCCATTTCTGGGAAACAATCGCCTTCAAAGTATGTGAATTTTAATATGTGGTACCTTTCATTCCGTGAGTTTCTTGCTTGATTAAATTATGTTTTTTCTTGCTCTTCTCTTTCATGCTTAGCGCCACTTTCAACTTGGATTTTTACTTCTGAACTAAAATAATTCAAACTTTTGAAATTTTTTAAAGCTCACTCAATAAAAGTCTTGATCTTTATTTGAAGGGAGATTCTCGAATATACCCTTGACAATTTCACAAATTGCAAATATACCCCTGACAAATTTTCAATTTCAAATATACCCCTGTCAAATTTTTAATTGCAAATATACACCTGTCATATATTACAGGTTTGCAAGCCTTGGTCATGAGGCACCCACGGTAAAACACTCCGAGCCTTTCAGCACGAGGCGTCGACCCTACAGCCGCGATTCCATGGAATTCGATAATCGTTCCTCCGACGGGGCCCTTCTACCGAGGAGCATAAGGGTTTTGCGCAATCTCCCTTCGTGCACTGAACGGGGGGAGCTGTGAAGCAATTAGGGTTTGCGCCAATCTTCGTGAACAGGGACTGTTCGCGATGGGGAAGCGCATGCGCGATGACGAGGAGGATGCAGGGGAGGTGGCCCTGCGCAAGGCGGGGATGAAGCTGCCTTCCAACATCAAGAACAAACACAAGCGGTCGGCGGAGTACGCCAAGGTGAGAGCGGAAAAGATTAAGGAGAAGAAGCAGAGGATCAAGGCGCGCGATACAGCGGAGCGTCAGGCGGTGGAGCTCGGAGAGACGCCGCCGCCGAGGCAGGTGCCGAAGACAATTGAAAACACCCGGGAAGCGGACGAGACGGTAGCGCAGCCCGACGATGAGGAGCTTCAAGTGGACGATGGGGTCGATGAGTTCAGTGGACACTTCGCGCGTGCGCAGATGCCGAAGTTGTTGATCACTACTTCCCAGGAGTGCTCCTCACCTACGCGTAAATTTATCAAGGAACTCTTGACGGTTATTCCGAACGCTACTTTTTACAAGCGCGGGTCGTATGATTTGAAGCAAATTGTGAAGTTTGCAAAAAACCGGGACTTTACGACGATGTTTGTCGTGAATGAGAATCGCAAGCAACCGAATGGATTGCTCATGATTGCTTTGCCAGAGGGGCCGACGGCGCATTTTAAGCTGTCGAGTATCAAGCTGAGCAAGAAGATTAAGGGGCATGGGAAACCTACATCGCACATGCCCGAGCTTTTGCTGAACAATTTCACGACGCGCTTAGGGCATCGAGTCGGTCGTTTGTTTGCTTCGGTTTTCCCGCAGGATCCTCAGTTTAGGGGGAGGCGTGCAGTCACTTTCCACAACCAACGTGACTTCATCTTCTTCAGGCATCACAGGTATATTTTTGAAGAGAAAGAGATAAAAGAGTTAGCGCCTGTAACTATCGGAGTCAACAGCGACAAGAAGTCTCGAAAAGCTGCGCCTAAGACTGTGAAGAAGAATGCTGTTGTAGCTAGGCTCCAAGAGTGTGGCCCACGATTCACCCTGAAATTGCAGAGCTTACAATCAGGAACTTTTGATAGCAAGTATGGAGAGTATGAGTGGGTGCATAAGCCAGATATGGATACCAGCAGAAGGCGATTCTTCCTCTAGGCACCTGTGCAGTCGACGTCATTTGCAACGGCTACTACTTGGTTGTTAAGATTGGACCCGGCGTTGGAAGGCGCGCATCGTTGAGTTTGATAAGCGTCATAATTTTGTAAGAGAGGGAAAATCTGCATTGTGGTGGGATAGTTGAAATATGAGACAGATTTTATGTCGACGTAGGCCCTGAGTCAGCTCAAGACGAACTGTCCTGTTTTTTTAGACAGTAGATTATGTCTAATCTTGCGTATAGTTTGTCTAAGCAGCTTAGCTACTTAATGTCCTTGCAGGAGGTTGAAGTCTAGAAGCTGAGCACGACATCATCTGCAAAGTCTTAGAGTACACTTTCTGATTATATTGCTGAAGATCAATTCCTGTATGGATACTTGTTGCGCACCGCTTTGGTGCTGCAGCAAAGCGAGCATTTCTAGACGTTGCGGAGTTAGGTCACTCATTGGAAAACTAATTTTACATCATGCTTCTATATTTTTTTGAATCAAAGATTGGACACAGATTTCTGTAACTTAGTTGTAAGCGATAGTTGGATTTGCTGTGAGATTGTGTCACTTGTCAATACCACCAGTTCATGTGTCAGGATTACTCTCTTTTTATTCTAGTGTTGGTTCAGAGCACAGTGAATGCACCTTGGGACTCATATCGTGTTCAGATTTTTGTGCTTATGGGGGACTTTTGGTCACCCTGGAATGCAATGCAAAGTGCCCGAAGCCTCGTGTGAATCACCTTGATTCACTTGGTTCTTTTCAAAGCGGACTTGAGGTGAAGACGTTATCCAGTGCCAGTTGTGTGCAACCATATCCTTGATTCATTACTGTGTATTTGTATGCCACTTCTATGTCAAGCTCATGGAGGACTCACATGATACCTGGGAATCCTCAAGTGAATCTAGTAGTAATCTTCTGTCAATTTTTCGTCGTCAAATGTGATCACGCAGATATTTGCACGCTATAATATCAGGAAGGTATGTCATATTCTATGAAAATGAATGTCAGCTCTTCTCCAGACTGCAGGCCCAAGAAACCACTTTGTGGAAACTGGAAAAACTCACACCTATTGCTCATTTGTGCTCTATCTTTGCATCAAATAAGAATTTATAAAATAAATTCATTAAAATATGGCAGCCGTGCTCAGCAGGATTCGAACCTGCGCGGGCAGAGCCCACATGATTTCTAGTCATGCCCGATAACCACTCCGGCATGAGCACTCGTAGATTATATGCCAGACACCGAGTTATCCCCATTGGGGTTATCATGTGCGAAAAACGCGCGTCTGTGTGCCGCTGCACTGGTTTACATTGTCCGTGTATTGTTAATTCCTAGATTCTAGTAATTCTAGCCTGTAGCACTGGTTGGCATGGCTGTTGGCCTTGTCTTAGTAGTTCGTAGATTCTAGTAGTGTGGGCCTATCTACCTAAGGTGTCTATGTCCTAGACTAAAGTACCGCCAATCCATCTTCCATCTATCTACAAAATTCATCATCTTATAAATGTCAAGATGTTGTATATACTTCAAAAGCAATCCTATTGCCATGGATGTTTTGTCCTCTTATGTGGAGTAACGTTTCTAACTTCTAATGTGTGTATGTTACAGAGTTAGTTATATCTTGGGCATTGTATTTATTACCTAATCAATTTAGTTGTTGGTTGTTTCTTATTAACTTACACTATGAGCTGCTGATGTCATTTCGATTATTGCTGCATTATGTCAAAGCTTCATAGTGGGCATTCAATGTTTGTTGTGAAAGATGGCATTTAACTTCTCTCTTTTGCACTCTAATGAGTCCTTTCATAGTACATTGTTTCTTGTTAATCCCTTGATACACTTTGTTGGCATTTTGGACTTCATATCATACTTTATATTGCTCTTATTATCTGTTCAAGCCTAGGTGGATCTATCACCTCTAGTGAGATATTATAATCTTTACTTCATTGTGCCATAGATTGATGGCCTTTAAGTTTGAGTCAAGCCTCTTCAAAAAGGACATCAATGGTCATGTTTAGTTGTTTTGATTCGGGAGCAGAGTTGGTTGTGTGTTGTCATTTGGTTGCTTGTAAGTGTTATGAGTTGCTTCATCATGTTGTGCTTTGGATAAGTTGGGCATCCAATATGGATAGTAAGTATGTCATAAGGTGGTGAGAGAAGAAGGCCTTTGAGAGGATTGGCTTCCACTTCAAGACTTGCCATCTAGAGACAAAGTTATTGGTGATTTAGTTGACTATAAATCTTTTGGTCATTTTTGTTCTCCTTTTTGAGCTTTACTTGTATTTAAAGATCTTCTTCTAAATTTCCATATTTACCATAATTATTCTTTTTCAAGCGTAATACAATACTTTGTTCAAGCTAAATTTATTGTTATTCAGTTCTTAGGTACATTTGACTACCAAGATGTTCCAAACCAAATTATATTGTAATAATTTCTATGTTATGTTGACAAACACCTTAGTTTTATTTGTCATGTTCCATTGATGCTATTGTTTGATGTTACAATCTCCAAAAACATTGGTGATTCCAAAAAAGACTGCTAGTTAAGAATCATATGCCTTAAATAGTCAGTCAATTCTTTTTAGGACTTTGAATCTTGTCTAGACTTCTTCAACTCAGAAGCGTTCATAGAGTGCATGTGTTGCAATTTCTACTCTAGTGAATGGATAGAACTTGTAAGTGCCGTCCCACTTGACCTTGCTTTTCTATTTCTTAACAAGTAAGCCACAACATGGGTGAAGTTTTCCTTAGAAGCCATAAAAATTATATTTTTTTGTATTAATTGCTTAATCTATTGGTTATTATATCCTCGCAATTGAAGTTGTGCTATTCTAAGTATTGTATTGTGTTGCTCTAAGAGCCTAATTTTGTATTTGTGCTTGGTTGTATAGCCAAAAAAGTTGGCCTTAATTGTATCTAATTATTTGTACCCTAAATCCTAAAACTTGGTCACTTCACTTTTAATCCCTTAAATCACCTAAATGTGAGATAAATAAACCTCTACTACTTGGACAATTATCTTACTTCACTACTAGTGAATTTATTATGTAAGTTAATAAGTTGTAATTCTTATTTAAATCCTAATTAGATCACTCTTTAATCTTATTAAACATCAAAGTAATCAAGCTCAACTTCTACTATTAACTCATACTTATAATAGTAATTCTTTCACAAAATGCATGCCTAAAAATTCCTTCTCTTAATTTAATTTAATTTTTTCTTTAATTTAATTTAATTGAGATTCATCCATTAAAAATTCATCCAAGTACAAGTTATCATCTGCAAATAAATTCTCATCCATAAATAAATTATCATCTAAACTTAAAATTCATCCTTGATTTAAATGTTCATCCCATTTATTAGTTTTGATCAAATACAAAAGACATCCATTTAGACCTAATTCCACTCTAACCTAATTCGCCCAATTCAACCTAGCTTATCCTAACTTAATGTCCCATTCAACCAAGTCACCCACCTCGGAAGTCTCACGGAGCGAGGCTTGATGGAGTCAACTCGTAGTCACTGTCTTCTGCGACCTACTCCAGCACCACCAAACTCCCTACGCGGATCGACAGTTCCTTCTCTGGAACCATGTACACGAAGTCTCGGCCAGGGTCAGAGTGCCCCTATGCTTCGCAACCCGACAGCATCACTCCAGGGAGAGTTGGCCCAACACACAGCAAACCAGCTGCACCCTTTGAAAATGGAAATTTGGAAATGGAGCAGACACCAGCGGATGTTGTTGGTATCACAATGTTAATATCAAAACTAGTGTATCACAAGGGCCACTTGAGCCTCCAGTGCTAATTGTTTTGTAAAATTTCCCACCAAGCTAATAATGAGTCAAAAATTGAGCTGTATACACTAATCTTTTTATTACAATCCAATCTGCGATACTGTAACTTCACGACAGTTTCACGAGTGCCTTGACTCTTGGATGTAATCGGGAGGTGTCTTTTGTGACCTCCTCAAGTACTAGTTGCTTGAAAAATGTAGCTGCAAGAGTTGCCGCAAATCTAAGTCCTTCCAATAGCGGTTAAATAAACAACCAAGGGTTTGCAAGACGCTGCTGCTAACCAGTCCAACTAGACACCTTGAGAATCACCAAGCTCTAAGAACTACCGCTGCCTTGCACACTGGTAACTCCGCAACTAACTAATCTAGGCAAGATCTGGAGCGGCCCAGACCCCTATCAGCAAAGAGGCAGTAGCAGATCCGGGCAGCCTCTCCCCCTTGTAATCATATTCTCTTTCTATTTTATTTTTATTTTTATTTTCTTCTCTTTTTCCTTCTCATCTCCTTTTTCTTCTCCTTCTTTTTGATTTCCTTTTCTTCTATTATATATATTTTTTGTATTCTTTGATTTCCTTCAAATTTATGTATTTTTTTCCTATTATTATTATTATTATTATATATATATTTTAAGAACTATTAATAAATAGTTCCTAAATCCTAAATCCTTAATTGTACCCAAAAAAGTTGGCCTTAATTGTACCTAATTTTGCATCTTAGTTGAACTAATTTTCTTGCAATTGTTACGGACATACATATTTAATTGAATAGTTACTTAGATATTATGAATAGATAAAAGTAGGTTAATTTTATAATATCTTATAGAATTTTTTTCTAAAAGCTCCATAGATACAATTTCTTCTTTTTACATGTTTATAAGTAATTGATAGATTAAACACTTAGCCAAAAAGTTAGCCATATGTCACATATGTTGATAGCTTGCGATAGAAGTTAATAATGTGATGCACATAAAGAAAACTTGCCTTACAAGTTAAGACATGTGTTTTAAAAATTAAACACGTGTCAAAGGTCCTATAAAACATTGCTATGCAATTCTTAGATAGTATATATAGAGGCAAGAATGAAGCCTTTACTCTTATCAATGTCTTTTTAGTCCTTAGTCTTCTTTCAAGACTTTTTAGTCTTCTTATCTTTGGCAATAGTTATTTCAGTTTTAATACTATATTAATTTTGAATGAATATCTATTTTTTTTTTAATTACACAAGAGTATATTAAGTTTTTGGTTTTTTGAGGTTCATATCTTTGACAGTTTTATAAAAGTAATAATTTATTATTTTTATCTTAATTTAAGAAGTAAGTGAATTATCTTACTTCTATTATTGTATTTTAAAGGTTATAAATTATCTACCTTCAATCTAACATTTTACTTCTTTAATAGTGATTTTTTTCTTAAAAAGAATAGACTATCATTCTTTGTGAAAATTTATCATTTGATATTAGAGATTGTATATTACTCTCTTTTAATTTGACTTATAGATTTGTTTGAGTTGTTTAAGGAAGGAAAAATTATAGATGCTACTCTTGGCAAAAGTGATGATAAATTTGCAACCATTATAGATCTTTATAAGCTTATTAATACACTTAGGATAGAAATCTCACGTATCTATAACATCAACCATGGAGGTAGTATTCCAATATCTATAGAAGATATCAACAATAAAGTTTAACGTATATATCAAGAAATTATGCAATTAAGAGAAGCAAGTAAAT